CCTGGAGACACTGGACGGCCGTTTCGTCCTATTATGGGACTCCTCTGTGGTAGTACGGATCCACGATCCCACCCCCTGTAAGATTTCAACCCAGGACCTATCAGTCTCGCGCGTGAGCGCTTAACCACTAGACCAGTGAGCTGGCAATAGGACAAATTGGCTGTCCAGTGCTTCCAGCTTTTCCATAGTGGTCTAGCTTCAACTGAATCATAATCTCAACTATTGATAAAAATAAATATTTATTAATCCGAAATTGACATAGTTATGAAACTGAATAGTAAACAGAATCGAAATAAAAACATAATCAGTGATTGTAAGAAAAAAGAGAACTAAGTATATGGGATGTACTTAAGAAATAAAAATAAAAATTTGAAATATTCAATCACTAAACAACCAGATAGTCTATACGGCTGCGAAACGTGGTCATTATGAGAAGATACCCATAAGTTACTACTATTTGATCGCAGATGCCTTAGAAAGATTGCTGGCGTCTGCTGGGATCACCGGGTACGTAATATTGAAGTTAGATGCATGATATTAGAGAATGTTGGTAAATCAGTTAATGAGGTTGTGAATTTTCATCGACTGAGATGGTTGGGCCGCGTGTTACGTATGCCTGAACAGTGTTTACCACGACGTGTAATGCTGACTAGAGTTGGTGATGGTTGGAAGGAATTTAGGGGCGGTCAAACCAAGACGTGGAATCAGTGCTTGAAGTCACTAACTTCTGGTCTGTGTCATGTTGGTAGATGCAGACTACTTGGTTGGTGTCCATATGACTATCGGAACCAATGGTTGAAGACTCTTCGTGACATGGTTCAGAATCGATCACAATGGCGCAGGTGTAAACACTCTCTGTCTTCCCTTAAACTAAGAGATTAAAACTGCTTTATATCTTTCTTTCTACGAACTAATTCTTTCTTCCTGTACTATATCCTTATATTCAATCTTTCTTTTATACATCACTACCATTGAATTAACTACTTCTATGAATCCGGTGTTCATCTTGCTGTGCTAATGCGGTATGGCACTTTGGACCGATGCATATATGTGTCTAGTCCTACGTTGTAGCTGACTGACTGAGTGTATAATAACAATGAAATGATTTAAATAACTATTAAAAATGAATAGAATATTGTTAAATAAATAAACAGTAAAAATAAACATAGAATAAATAATTGTTTATCTTACTTAAATTTTTTTGTTTTATCTAAAATTACACCAGTTATTACTGATCCAAATATACCGGCAATAATCATTGTGAAACCAGCCCAACCAGATAGATTAGAATTCTCGTTTCATTAATAATATAGAATGTAAACAGAAAATATTAAGGATTAGTGTAATACAAGGTGAATTTCAATGACAACAGTCTTTATCTACATTTTATATAATAGAAAAGAAAAAACTCAGTTAATCTTGAATAGTTTAAATGAGTGTTATGATAAGTTGTGATTAATATTATCCGATTTGGTTAGCGTTTTTTAGCTGGTTAGTTTCCTATGGGATGGATTGGTTGACTCCATGCCCAACCTCCTCCTTTATCCAGTCTTAGGACCGGTAGTAGCCTCAGAGGAGCTCCACGAGAATTTTTGGAGGATGTGAAAACCTTTACATATTTGGGCATCACCATTGATGAACAAGGTGGATTTGATGCAGATGTGGAGACGCGGATCGGCAAAGCAGGAGCAGCATATCTACAACTGAAGAACATCTGGAACTCACAACAATTGGCAACCAACACCAAGGTCAGGATTTTCAATACAAATGTCAAGACAGTTCTACTGTATGCGGCGGAAACTTGGAGAACTACGAAAGCATTCATCCAGAAGATACAAGTGTTTGTTAACGGTTGTCTACCAAAATATTTTGGATCCGCTGTTCAGACACTATCAGAAACAACCTAATGTGGGAGAGAACAAACCAGATACCAATGGAGGAAGAAATCAGGAAGAAGCGCTGGAAGTGGGTAGAACATACATTGAGGAACTCACCCAACTGCGTCACAAGACAAGCCCTCACATGGAATCATCAAGGCCAAAGGAGAAGAGGAAGACCAAAGCACACATTACGCCGAAAAATGGAGACAGACATGAGAAGAATGAACAGCAATTGTATAGAACTAGAAAAGAAGGCCAAGAACAGAGTGGGTTGGAGAATGCTGGACGGTGGCCTATGGTGCATTGGGAATAACAGGCGTAAGTAAGTAATAATACCCAATCGCTTTACTGTATGAGCGTGTCTTTTACAATACCCAGTTTTCAGATGCATTTTATAGTTTTTTTAATGGATAACCGTGATCTACGTAGCTAATCACGTTAGAACTGCCCATATATTCGATAATATATAATGGATTAACTGAATTTGACGTATAGATTTCAAATGGATTGTAGTTCATTGGTTTAAAACTAATAACTTTTTCCTTTAGACTTATTGATCATAGTTTGTGATCTTGTCTCAAATCACTGGTACATCCTCTTGTTAAAGAGTACCTGCGCTAAGATGAAACAACGCTTTATTACTTCGTAATTTTCAATAGTTTCAAAATTGATGTCACTTCATATTGAAGTGTACTTTGGAAATATGGGGAACAATGTTTGACAACGTGAGTTCACTAACAATTATCGGCTGAATAACTGATCGCATAATATTTTTGACTATGATATTGAACGGTGCATGATCGAATCATGTGAGGAGTATGAGTATGTTCAACATTAAAGAAACACCTTGCTTAAAGGTACTACGAGGCTGATAAAATGGGTCCATGTCTTCCTGGAAATGAGATCAAATAATCTAACGTTTAACTAAGTTAGTTGGTTGTTGATACTTGACAGGAAACTCTGAGCGTGGGGTTGATACAAGTTGACACTCGTCTCCAGGTCGTACCTGTAATCTTAAGGCAACTGATGGAGCTTGGTGAATGAAAACCCACATTACCTAGTATCATAGTCTGAAACGACACTACTCAGCTATTGAAGTTGTAACCAGTTTCTCTTAGGACTCAAATATTTTCAATTAATTAATAACTGACTAGTGAGTAATGTCATCTAGGTTCAATGTTCCATTTCGACTACCTTCAACCATTTAATAACCAAATGTATTATACACAATACCAAGTATCCGTATTACAACTTGACTGATTATCATTTAGCCATAAATTAAGGATCAGACGAACACGAAATTAGTTACTATTGTTCAATGATTAACTAAACCGGATCAACACTGTGACCTTATTTTAAATAGTTGATAATCACTATGCATATGATTTCCATAGTATTGATGACTATATTACTACTGTGAATGTGATCTGACTTATTTTGTTGTGGGAAATATTCGCTCTCTATCATATTTTGTGAAATTTGTTTCTTACTCATCTGAAATACAAGTATCATTTTTTTCATATGAGCATAGTACGTTTCTCGTTGTTCGAAAATGGGAGAACTTCATCAAAAGGCAGGCTTCCACACGAGAACAATTGTATTTTCTCCACGAGTGCCATCGTCAGCATGTTCTACGAACAAGTGTAAGATACAGACCTCAAACCAACTGCCCATTAAGATGGAGAATACCTGGAAGAAAGATGGTACACCTAATGATAACGGATGCACATTACCAACGCGTCATAGAGGACCAAAAGATGAAACTAGAAAAGGCACCCACGTCAGAACATTTGGAACTCTTGACAACAGCCATCAAGATATCATGCAAACGCCACAGAGAACAAAGAAGAAAATAATCAAGATCTCAAAACTACCCATAAAGAAACACAAACAACTGCGTGGTCAACCTTTCAAAGCAACTACTACACGATCAAAGCATCCAGCTCAGAGAACAAAATCATCTATTTGAGCTACAAATCTTTTCCATCACAAATGTCATTTTTTTTTTTGAGTATTGAAAATACTTGAAACAGTTTTGCACGTTGAAGGATATGTAATACTCTGATGATTGATACGGTTGACTAAAGAAATGTTCAGTTAGAAAACGTAGTTATCACTAACTGTCCTGAAGAGTAAAATACATGAGGACTGTTACAGCAAAAGTTACATATGAAATTGAACAATTTTATTGGGTGGATATATTAGAAAATGAGATTGTCAATGGATTTATTTTGTGTCAATATTCTATATTACTCGTGATAGTTTTGACAAGAAAGATTTGAAAACTAGAGGGAGCTCAACTAGAATGAAATTGATATTCGATCATTTCTTTAATTCTAGATATTGTTAATACTAAGAAGCGTTTTAATAATAATTACTTCACAAACAAATTGGGTTCTAATCTTGCCAGACGGGATCGTGGATGCACACTGCTGAGGAGTCCAACAATAGGACGAAACGGCCGTCCAGTGCTGCTAAGTTTTCTATGGTGGTCTAGCTTTAATCGACTGGTGAATTTGCCTATAAAACTGTAAATGTTTGAATTTTCCATGATTAATTATATTGACTTTACCTTATGAGTCTTTTTTAAAATATTTACGCAATCTGAGTAAATTTTCTAAATACTCGGGTTTAGTTATATGTTTTGATGCCTGATAGCAACGGCTTCTGAAGACTGGAGTTTGGCTGTTTACTAATCACATTAAAAAATTGCAAAATGATGTTCTGTATCAAGGAGATATTTGATAACTGCACTGTTTAGAGTATTTCTTTCTCTTGCTCTGAGGCTTTTTGCAATACGCTCAAAAAATCTAAGATATGCTCTCCTTTCTGTTCGGCCAATGTAGCTGCTTTAGCAGGTACACGTCAATTTATAATTACAGTTGGCGGTAACATGAAAGGCGTGCTTATCAACTTTAGATTGAGTTATTGAACATGTTGTTTTATAGAGAATTAATAGTTTGGCTGCTAAATAAGTTCTGGCTAGCACAATGTTCAGTCTGCTGATGATTGTGTTTGTGACATTATCACCTTTGAAGTTGAGATTTAGAGATATAGATTTTTTTTTATTGACCATAATTATTTCCGGTTTGTTTTTTTGTTTTTAGGTTTTTTATATTTGTCAATAAATTTTTGTGGGTAACATTTGTCTCTTAGGCATTTTTCAAAGTTCATCAATTCTGATTCCAGTTTGTCCGTAGTATATATCCTTTCTACCCCATAAAATATTATTTTAACTAATGACTTCTTGTAACTGATTGTACGAAAACTACTAACATTCATGTAACGGCCATTCCATGTATTCAATATCAACTATACTAATTAACCTGTTGGAAATAATCTATTGATCTTACGTTACAAAGTAGGCAATTAGTTAAGTGCTCGCGCGCGAAGCCAGTAGGTCTTGGGTTCGAGCCCCGCATGGTACGGGATCGTGGATGCGCACTGCTGAGGAGTCCCATACTAGGACGAAACGGCCGTCCAGTGCTTCCAGGTTTTCAATGGTGGTCTAGCTTCAAATGACTCATGATTTCAATCTGTGAAATCTAGTTAAGTGACCTACTATTATAGGTATATTAAATGGATATTAGATGAATTTGAGGTGATAAGAAACTAAATATTTAGACTTCGAATTAGTTGACACTTGTTGATATATTGAACAATTCTGAATAATTGATACTTTGTATTATTTAATCTCATATCATTCGATCATCATTACTGGCTTTCATGTTAACAATGATCTATTCAAATGATTATCTTAATTCTAAATAAAAGTTGACAATTATTTAGATAAACAAGAAAGTTTTACATTTAATTAGATTGATTTCAGTACTCATAAAAGATCACATGGTTATTTGGTATTTTTATATGTACAATAATGGTATCATTGTTCATTACAATGTACTCGATGTTTATTACATACAATAATAAACATTTGTATACCATGTGATGAAAACTATTCAAAGTTTAGAGAATATTCACAGAGAGGAGTTTTGTGGAGATTGTAATAGATTAATAATTGAATTCATGAGTCAATTGAAGCTAGACACCACCACGGAAAACCTGGATGGATGTTTCATCCTAGTATAGGACTCCTACTCAGCAGTATGCATTCGTGATCCCCGTGACTAATAGGTCTAGAGAATAGTTTAGATTTTGTAATAATGCAAGAGAATAAGTTAATACAGTATAATATTACACAGTTCATATCACATACTAATCTTAGTTAAATAACATATAAAAATCAGAAAGTAATTGGATAGTTGTTTCATTCAAATGTGAGACTTCCTATAAACACATATTTACAATTCTATCAGATATCGAACCTATGACCTTTAGTTCATATGATAAGCCTTTAACCTCTTGGCCAACATTTGATGTATTTGAAAAAGAATAGTGAATCAATTTTTAATAATATCAGAAGGGGTTTTGTGAATATTATAGTAATTTCAATAGTTTAGATCATGAGTCAATTGAAGCTAGACCACCATGGAAAACCTTGAAGCACTGAACGGTCGTTCTGTCCTCTTATGAACTCCTCAGTAGCGCGAATCCACGACCCTGCCTCGTAGGATTCGAATCCAGGACCTATCGGTAGGACCTATCACTAGACGACTGAGTCGGTAGGCCTCCATAAGGTGTTTATGTCTAACTTCGACTAATCCATGAAGTTGAGCGACACATCCACCATTGTCTTCAGTGAGTTACTATTTCACAACAGATGTGGTTGAACTCCACTGGTCACGGCTTCTCACTAGATCTCCAGGATATACGTCTTGAAGCCAGTCACTAGTGAGCATATGTTGATTAATATCAGAAGGGATTTTATGGAGATTGTAGTAATTTCAATAGTTGAGATCATAAGTCAATTGAACCTAGACCACCATGGAAAACCAATTTGAATAAAAAAATACTGACTCACTGTGAAATATCCTAGTAAAATACTATTTAATAATGTACCAACAGCATAGTAGACACCAGTAAGTATACCTGAACAATTAAAATTACGAAAACAACACATAATTATGCATATTTTATATATATGTTACTAATAGCAACAAACATGTTTATTTAGTTGCTTAATACTGACCTAATTTAATTCTTATTCTTACATAACGACATTTTTAAATTAACTGTGCCCCCAAATGCCCTGGTACGGCCGAGAGTGGGGAGAGTCCGCTCTCCCTCTCGAAATGCTCTCAAATGGCCACGTGTATATAACCTTTGCAAGGGAAGTCCTACTTATTGCATTCTCGTGGCGAGGGTGTTGTTTACGAAATTCAGAGGACGAAATGCGAATGCCCGGCTCTTTCATCGGGTTGGTAGACACGGATGGTTCACCTAGGGGAGTTTGAAAACTCTTATTCCAAACCAGGATCCTGAAGGAACAAATGGCGTATGAACCAATCGTTGGTCACTGGTAACCATGGGACTGCATCTCCTTACGATGCTCCACTGCCTTGTGGATCAGACCTTCAGGTCGATGGCCCCGGGTGTGGTCCCCTTAGAAAACCACCCGCTTCGGTTTGGGCACTCGGGCAGTATCATAGCCCTCGCACAAATCAAATGAGATTTGTGTGGCGCATATGTATTTGGTGCCTCCTTGTACCAATATCTATGTGTTCAAATAAATAATAAAATTTTATAATTAACTGTTTATATAGTCATGTATTTATATAGAAAAGATAAAACATGGCTAGTAGTGAAATCATTCATGACATGCATTAGTTCTTATTCAAGAGGTACCTATCGAAGATATATATCTACCATTTTCAAAATTGATATTCAATCTAACATATTATCTAATTAGTTACTGAATTCATAATAGGTAATTATTTGTATAGCACGTATAAATTTTAAAACATTATTAAACTGACTAACTACCATTTATATTCAGTACTGATTTTATTCTCAACTGTTTTGACTTTTATATTAGTTTAGAGTTTTAAATGAAGGACAAATTGAAAGGAAATATCAGTATAGGGATTGTGGAGATTATTAAATTCTGGATTGAGATCATAAAACGATTGATTTTAGACCACAATTGAAAATCTAGAAGCCCTTGACGGCCGTTTCGTCCTATTGTGGTTGCGCAATTTCGTGGATTGGTTGAGGTAAGACATTAACACCGTTGAATGCCGGCTCAGTGGTCTGGTAAATTAAACGTTCGCGCGCGAGAATGAAGGCCCTGGGTTCGAATCCCCATAGTAGAATCGTGGACGAGCACTTCTAAGGAGTTCCACAATAGAACGAAATGGCCGTCCAGTGCATCCAGGTGGTGTTCTAACATCAATCGTTTTATGATCTCAATCAAAAATTGAAAAGAAATATTTTCTTAAATTCAATTGGTATTGTTGGTTTGAATCTTCCCATTGATGTTTAGGACTGTAATTGATCAGTCTCTTATTGACATATGTGCATCCTATGTGGATTGCCTCGTTATAGCCTTAATTCACAAGCATTCTAAGCAAAGATAGATGGTGGCTAGCAGTGGAATCCAGGACGCACGCTACTTTGTCCTATTTGGGACTCGTCAGCTGAATGTAACTACGTCTCAGAATTGATGTTCATTCTAAAACTTAAACCCAGTACAGTTGATTTAAAATACCATTGCGTCATCCACTTAGCTACTGTATCCTGATAATCACTTGTTTGTGTAGTGTGATGAAGTTGAAATTTTCACTTAGTATTGTTGATTTGAATCATCCCATAGTTGTTTATTCAATCTACACCTTTAAAAGTTTACCATTTTTAATTTGAGAAACCATTTCAAACATTCCATAAATAGAAATCATAACATAACCCGACCGTTGTTGCTACCTTGACGTGGTAGTCGGACTTTCCTATCGTGATGAAGCAACCGAGCTTTACTGGCTGGAACAACCGTTCCTCAAGGTTCTACCACGTCAGACAAGTCGGTTGAAGAGCAGTAAGACTAAAAGCAACAAACCTAAGGTCTGAAGGCGGAGTCGTACTGCTGACTGTACAGAGGTGTGACAACAGTAAGGTGTTTCCTTCAGACAACCAGTATGACAGCGATGCTGCCTTCCCAAAAGGAGGGCTGGGGTTAGAAAAGGTCGACTCTAAAAATGTACACCTCACCTTATCCCACGGATATCCGTCTCCTACAGTAAGGTCTCAACAAGTACGGAGCTAACACGAAAATTACCCATAAAAAGGTCGTGTGTGACCGACCTCAAGCATTTGACCTTTGGGCATTGCGGTCACGCTCTCAGGTCACTAAGATCACCTCTGATCCAATTTCCTTTTCAGGTACCCCATCCTCCTCTTGACTGAATCATAACATAAGGAATAAGTTTACGATAATCATGTTATGTACTAAATATGGTCATATTAAAAACAAAATAAACTTCAAATATACTTACCATAACTAATAAACAATAAAATGAATGGAGTATTTTTAAACAAACGTTTTAATGCCATTGAAATAGTTTCATTTCTAGGATTATTTTGTAATGATTGATATGAATAATTATCTATACTACTGATATCATTTTTATCATCAATATTAATAATAAAATTATTCATTATTGAATCATTTGTATTTAGGGTATCCTGTTTTGTTGATGATATTGAATGTTCATTTGGACTAAGCGCTGGATATTGTTGATCAGCGTCTAATGATTTTGTATAGAATTCTAGGAAAAATATTTAAAAAGAAAACAAGAGATATACTGTCATTTCATGAAAACTGTTATAACTTGTGGGTTTCTGACCTTATCAGTGTATAACGTAATGATAACGCCTATTCGGGAACAGAGATTTATCGACCGATCCAATGACGTATAAACCCGTATTAGCAGTCTAGAATCCTTATCGATCCTTCTCCCTGCCTAGCTATGCCTGTCTGTTAGAATCAAGAATACCGATCTCAGCCTCCGCGATATGAATCATTATATTTCAAAAGTGGCTGTGAACGCGGGAGACTGGAATTGACAAACTGGGCATAACTCAAGAATGGTAAATCGTATAATAATATAGTTCATAGGTCAAAATAAAGCTTATGATAAGAGGAACATGAATATTAACAGTTTAGTTATTTAACACTTATACAATAAATATATATGTACAGTATTAGTTCATAAATGGATCCTAAAAGTTACCATTCATTATTCTCATCATCAGGATATAACAACAACAATATATTACCTTTATCAATATTGTTTTTCTTTTCGTGTAGACCATTATTATTGACTATTGAATGAATTCCATTTGACGGTTTGTTATCAATGGATAATTGATCATTTACATGTAATTTGTGAATAACCGATGAACCACTACGTTTATATTGTGCTAAACTTGGTTCAGTTTTAGGTTTTGCACGAAAACCTTAATAGAATTGAATAAAAGATAAAATTGAATTCAAACGATTAATAATTAATTTATAACAAAGCAAAGTTTATTAGGTGAGACTATCATTTGTGGACGACCTTTGAGCGACTCTAAAGTGACCTTCAGTGTGTACACCTAATAACAAGGACCAAATGACGATTATAAACCAATGTGAGGGATAACAATAATGATTAACAATTGATGATTGATGTTAAGAATTAGATTTGCGTTTTTCATCACGAACTGACATCATCTATGATGCTAAAACTCAATTTATCCAATTGGATGAGTGAATTTTGCGCCAAAATCTTAGACCTGTTAACTTATCTCTGATTGGTTTGTTCAGAAATTATAGTCTCGCTGTTTATTCCAAATATAATGCCAAAGAATTGTTGTTTTATTCTCTTGAGAGAACTGTTTAAGAATAAAGATTTCACATTCACCATCTTTTAAAACGTAGTATAGATTACTGAATTTTTAATTATTAATATTGTATGTACCGCTCAATTTCGTGGATTGGTTGAAGTTAGACATTAACACGGCTGAATGCCGACCGGCTCAGTGGTCTAGAGGTTAAGCGCTCGCGCACGAGAATGATATGTCCTGGGTTTGTATCCTGTGAGGCAAGGTCATGGATGCGCACTGCTGAGGAGCTCCATAATAGGACGAATCGGCCGTCCGGTGCTTCTAGGTTTTCCATGATGGTCTAGCTTCAATTAACTCATTATCTCAACTATTGAAATATTGTATTCATTGGAAAACAATTGGGTTCAGTAATTTGAACTCTTTATTAAGAAATATGAATACATTATAGGTTTTTTAAGATAACAAATTAATATTTCAGTGAATGACATGAAGTAGATTGCCTACATGTCCAGAAATCAGAATCGATTATAAAACAATAGAATTCAATTAACTCCTTAATTGAACTAAATCATTTAATGGATTAATTAACTTAAATAAAAATGTATGATTATATAAGTTTCCAATGTTTAAATTATGTCACTCATAAAAGATATGTTCATTAGGTGTTTGTAAGTATTTAGAAGGATTCTCTTCTGGATCTAAGTTTTGTGCTATTTGACGCCCAAATCTGTATTATTCAGCTACACACTCAGAGATATCACTATTGGAGTGTCTGTCATAACTTGTGACCCTGTTGCTCCTATCAATATATAATGTAATGATACAGCCAATCACAGAACAGTGATTTACCAACCGGATCAATGACGTATAAAGCTTGTACGAGCAGTCTAGAGACTTTATTTGTCCTTCCTCCTGCCTAACCTTGCCTGTTGAGTCCAGAACACCAATCTCAGCCTCTGTGATATGAATCATGTAGTTCAAATATACTGGGTTAATATACAAACAGTGTCCATGACCCAATTGACTTGAAGTATTTCACACTGTGATTGACTATTGTGTAGTGATTAATATTATTGTTTGTCTAGTCATTTAATAATAATTAGATTCTATTGATCAAATTACAATATCCCGACTTTGTCTTAGTGTTTCGACAAAGCTTATGTGTATTTTCATCTTGTCATAAACAAGTTGGCTGATCATATTATCATCTACCGTTTATTTCTATTAAACTCTATATCATTCACCTTTATGTAGACATCACCAATTAACTATTTAAACTTGATTAATAGGTGAGGATGTTATTTTGATTCCTATCAATTTTAATTGATGAATTGTCATATTTTTCTAAGATGAATGCATATTTTAAACAATTTTCCAGGGATATTTAGTTTTCAGTAGTTATCTAACTAAGAACAGTTCATGATATAAGTTAGTCAGTAACAACATAGAACTTTGTACGTACGTACATCAGTTCGAGTTGGCATACCACATAAGCACAGAGATACAATTGTCGTGGTAGAAGTAGTAAAAGTATAAGCAGTAATCGGAATGATGAGGGTTTGAAGATGTTATTCAACGAGTATAATCCAGTGAAGTAAATTTGGGAAGAGAAAAAAAAGGGACATGAAGAATTTAGAAGATTAGAATTTGGGAGAACACAAAAAGTGGATGTACTTGCGCCATTGCAAACGATCTTTAGCCATGTCATTCAAGGTCTCTAAACATCGGTTCATGATATAAACTATGAAAACAATGATTGATAGTTTCTACTTAGTGAAAAATATTCTACCTAAAAAGTCCAATGGTAACACCAATGAATATGACATTACGTGATGATATTTTATCAAGAATGAATATAATGTCGATTGGTAACTACCATAATAGTTAGACTTAAGTGATCGTAGTAACCGTTTCCAATCGATTGGTATTTTTAGTTAACATTTGACAGTATCATATCATTTAGACGATTTGTGTGTTTTTGTGTTAGATTTTATTCAGAAACCTATGGAATTAGATGACTTCATGGTGTACTGCAAATTTCAGCTTTATACTCTACAGTTTAAGTAAATGACGCGAAATCTAAATACTATAGGTTTAAGGACTGTCTGTATTGTAAGTGTCGTAAGGGCTGGTACTATGTCAAGCCCATATGGGTCATTCTAGCCACTGGACAGACCACTCATCTTTCCATTCGTTACAAGCCACATTTTTTTGCTAGGTGTGAAGCTATCACGAGTTCACTTAATCTACGAACGAGAAACAAGATCTCAGTGACCAAAGTATAGTAAGCTAGTTATTTGATGCGTCTCAGCCTCGCTAACTAGAGGGAGAAGTCCAAGCTTGGAATGGGGAAGTATATTCTGCAAACAGCCAGAAACGAGCGATAACAACAAACACAATTCAAAATGTATATATACAGTACAAAACCGTCCTTGGGAAGAGTTACCAAATAGCATACTAAGAGACGCAACGGACCAATAGAATTTAAGATATTTTACCACTGGGAAATACGACATGAAGGTGACAAGATCGCCTTTGGCGCAAAAATAAAGAAATTCGAATTTTCTAAATAAAATTACAAAATTAGGTTCTCTCCCAAGTGAGTTCTGGGGATCTAACGTCCTCAATATTTTTACACTATCACTTATTTGATTATTTAACCCTAACTGTTTTTATATGATCGTGTGTTAATTGCTTATCTTCTTCATCACGTGTATGTAATTTATTTTTATCTGAATATAAATATTGAGTAACACTTTATCAAATGTAGATAGTTAATATACCTTTTCCGATTCGTTTCGTTCCCCTCTATTCTCTTCACTATCTTCACTTTGTTTTTGTGAATGTCTGTCTGAATCAACGATTGTGTGAAATATACATATTCAAACTCCATTCTTATATTCAACTTATTCAATTCCGTTATTCGCTAACGACGTGATTTAAGTCGATTATTCTATACGAGGGTAGCTAGGATGTATATTTCACTAACAATCTGTCACTCAATCATTAAATGATCTAATTGGAGTCAAATAAAGGACCACTTAAGTGTCTACTGATAAAAAGATCCATACTATGACGAAACATAATGTTCACTATGCATTCTAGTGTACTCAATAGCTTTTCAATCACCATCTATCCATAAAAAAACTAAACTTTAACTGTTATTAATTTCAATAAACCTCTCAATCAAACATTTTTTCTAACTTATCAATGTCATATTGAAAACAAAATAGAGATCAATTAGATGATCCAGATTTTAAAGTCTTATACAAATAATATATAATTCGATAAAAAAAATTGTTTTAGAAATGAATCCTTTCATAGTTCTGAGTATCAAAATCAAATCAAAACCTCGGACCTATCAGTCTAGAGTTAAAGTGCTCTCGCGCAAGACTGATAGGTATGGGGTTTGAATCTCACTAGGTGGGGTCGTGGGTATGAACTACTGAGGAGTCCCATACCAGGACAAAATGACTGTCCAGTACTTTCTAAGTTTGTCATGGTAGTGTCTAGCTTCAATTGACTCATGAATTCAACTACTAGATTTTTAATCAGATTTTAAATCAAGTTCATGATCTTATACAACTGTATAAAAGTTAAAAAAACTGACGTGTTCCTTTAACAATAATGTGTAACTATGATTGTTCACAATATAAAACATTAGCATCATCTTAGCTTCCAAATTGAACTCATATTACATTACTATTGAAAAACTGAAACGATAGAAAAGATTTGTGGGTGAGATTTTTTTCCTGTAAGCTGAATGACTTAATCATAAAGCTTTCATTGTTCTTTTAAACAACATCATCAGCATAAATTTCAAGTAGAATTGAGGTATTAGAATTTCTCCATGTATAAAGTCGACAAGTTCTCCTGTCATCTTGATTGGTTAGTGTTGACCTTTAACCTGTAATTGTCTAGATATCTATTTTGATTGTTTCACTTTTTCTTGAACAATAGAAGCTCCATTATTAAACCGTCCAACTCAAAGAATGAAAATCCGCCAAAAAATTGGAAACTGATAATTAATTGCTTATTCAATCATTTTTCAGTTCAAAACAAGTTGAACCAAAGCGATATGAGAGAGACAGAGAGAGAGAGAGAGTAAGTATTTTATAACTCTTTATCGACAGCCAACTAAGTCAATCAGTCGTCAGTCAAGAATAACTTAAACTATATATCCAACTTATAACTAAAGCAATACTGGTGGTATTATGTCAATCACAATTCTAGAAGAAATCAGTCGTTTTAGGAATAATTCAATGTCAATGCATTTAACAGTAACATTATGTAATGTCAGTCCAAATATCACAGAAGCATAGATTACTCCAAGATTGTTCATCAAACAGTATTCTGTTGAATACCGACCAAATTTCCCTACAAGATGTTTCGAACCATATAATATGATGGGTAACGATTTGTACTTTAATAGATCTTGATCATGTCAATGGTTTATAACAGAAACTTTAAAATTATGCAACGAATATATATGCGCGAAACCAGTAGGTTCTGGGTTCGAATCTCGCAGGGGGCGAGGTCGTGGATGCGCACTGCTGAGGAGTCTCACAATAGGACGAAACGGCCGTCCAGTGCTTCCAGGTTTTCCATGGTGGTCTAGCTTCAACTGACTCATGATCTTAACCATTGAAATTACTACAATCTCCACAAAAAACCCATCGAATATATAATACACAACTTACCAAACAATACAAATACAAATGGAAGAATATTTAAAGCAGCACTAAAATACAGCATAATCATCATATAATGTTTAATTTTATTGAATAATTCATTCATATCTGTTGTTGGATCAATTTGATTAGTTCCATTTGAACTATACGGTATCGATGGTAAAATAAGTGGTGGTACTAGAAAACCAAATGCAACACCAAGCTAGAACAATAATAAATAGTGAAAAGAATAATTCTATACAATTAGTCAAATGAACAATGAACAATGTTTATAGAACAGATGACATTTTTATGGTTAATGATGGAGTTTATTCCAAGTGTTTCATTTCAATTTAGGACTAATTACATGTAACTGTTAACTAGGTTCCATCTATACAATATGAAACTTTTAACAATATGGATATGGTTAAGTAATCTATACAAGATATACATATGTCAATAGAATGATCAAAATTTAGGTCTCAATGTCATAGAGGTATAATGTATTAAATTCTATAAAAAATATTAATGGGCAAAATGTTAATACAGTAACATCAGAATACGCATATTTACACACACACGAACACACATGTACAACTAACAAAATTTACTGTCAGTAATAGAAACGTTACAATAGTAGGTTAAAAAATTATTTTTGTCCACAAAACCCTTCTGATACTAATCAACATATGATCACTAGTGACTGGCTTCAAGAGGTATTTCCTGAAATTCTAGTGAGAAGCAGTGATCGGCATATTTCAACCGTGTCTGTTGTGAGGTAGTAACTCACTAAAGACAATGGTGAACGGGTTGCTCAGTTTCATGGATTAATTAAAGTTAGATATTAACACCGTTGGATGCCTACCGGCTCAGTAGTCTAGAGGTTGAGCGCTCGTGCGTGAGACCGATAGGTCCTAGGTTCGAATTTTGTGAGGCGGGATCGTGGAGTGGATCGAGGACTCCCATCCGAGGACGAAACGGCCGTCCAGTGCTTTCAGGTTTTTCATGGGGGTCTAACTTCAATCGACTCATAATCTCAATTGTCAAAAGTCTTTTGTAAGAGATCTTTAATCAGTAAGGTACAGAAAAATGATTTTTTCAAAACTTTTGTGCCGTGATACATAGTTTCTAAGATTTGATACAGATACACACTCTTTCTACAGATGAGCTACATATATATATATATATATATATATATATCCCCTAGGAAGCTAAACCTATCAGTTGTTCATGTCATGTTACTTAGAGATAAAAGTCATCTCTCTCAGCCAATCAGATGCACGTATCATTTGATTGGCGTAGTGTATCACTTGTTGTAAATATTTCATCATTAATTTGAAAAGATTTACTTCTTTTGTTTAAAAGAGCTGAAAAATGACCACAATCCACATCCTATTTGGTGAATGTAATGACTTCACATCAAAAGTAAACGTTAAACCTTCTACTTTGATCTCTTAGGTTGTGTATTACATTACAGTGTTGAATTTTAACCAAGTGATCTAATCAACTGAACTTATCGAAATTTGTAGATTTTTAATATTTTGTTGATGAGGAATTGAGGAATGCAACGAATCGGTCGATTAAGACTTATTCATAAAAGTGATTGATTAATTGCAGTTCAGAAACTTATACAAACTTAAAAGAACAAATTTTTCACTCAATGTATAAGCTACTGTAGATCTGAACTTCGCAGTTCTATAGACAGAGCATTAAAGTTTGAGGCAATAAGCACTGCTTTACAATTTCATAGTAAACAGGAACAATGAGATGCAAAAACATCCATTTGATAAATCCCGAACAAGACAAAATATCAGTCCTGAGTAAAGGATGCACATTACATTCTGTTTGGGACTCATTAATTACATTTACTCCTCACCCCACCAAAATTATTCACACTGGGATTCGAACCTAGGTCGTTTAGTATCAAACACCCAACAGTCAACTAGTCAGTTCAAATAGCTATCAACTTATTCAACAAGTATGAAAATATTAGAAAGGGTTTGTAAATTCTTGTTTTTTAAAAATTTATTGGATAACGCGTTAGACGTTTAGGGGCAACAAATACTGAACTCAATTATTGGTCTATACATCAACATTCAAATGCTGGTACACCAAAGCAAAAAGTCTCAAATAGAATGTATGTATGGTGAATCCTGGATTCAACTACTAGGCACATATCAAATATATGCATTACATATTAAATATATCCTATGTGGATTGCCTCGATATAGCCTTAATTCATAAGCATTATATGCAAAAATGAATGGTAGCAAACAAATGATGCCGAGTGAATTTAAAATTCACTCCATTGTACAAGCAAGTGGCTATCGGGACTCAGTAGATAAGTGGACAACGCGATGGCGTTTGAAGTGAACGGTACTGAGTTCGAGTTCCGGAGTGAACATAAACACTAAGATGCGGATACATTCAGCTGACGAGCCACAAATAGGACGAAGTGGCTCACGTCCTGGACTCCATCGCCAGCCACTATCCATCTTTGAATATAATGTTAATATGTGATATTGAAAAATAATTGTAATAATTCCTAATCAATTACTTATCATCTTATTTGATTTAACTGTAAAATACACATCTACCACCTAAGAGTAAACAACTAATAATTAATACATTCTAACCAAGTGATATTAAATACTTACAATTTGTTGTAACTGTGATTTATATAAAAAGATAGTTTATATATATGCATTTGTTAATGTTAAATTATGACTAGTAGTAGGATATAGAATATGCATTTCATGCATACCCATTGCACAAGCTAGCGGTAGTTCAGTGTATAAGGTGTTGACTTTTGAAGTAATAGATACTATGTTTTGTCTTAGGGTGGACATCAACACTGAAATGTTGATATATTTTGTTGATGAGTTCCAAGTAGGTTAGAACATGAATCTAGGATATTATTGTTAGTCAACACCGAGTTCTATTGGAAACATGTAATTAGATGACAACATTAAGTTAATTCGTTCAGAATCCACATATTTCGGTCGAGGCTGATTAATTATATAGCCTAATATCAATCAACGGCAAAAAAACAATGTAGACAATACAAACTTACTTGATTCCCGAATACACCAAGTGCAGTAGCCGTTGAAACTTCATTCACTCCAAACCAAACTGCTGCTAAGTGGGCTGGTATACCCAATATACCGGATTGAGCTATTCCACAAATAGTTTGTCCAGCCATAAGTATTGGAAAACCAAGTTTATTACTGAATGGAATAGATTTATTAGATTGTCCAAACGTTGTTTCATACGTAACTGCACCCGCTATACATTTAATACAACCACCGACTGCATTCAACGCTGAAGCAACTAGCAGAGTTACACGCAGGCCCCATCTATTCAGTATCCAATTAGAAGGAAATATCAATGGAATATAGGCGAGCATATAAATCATTGACAACCAATCTACAGATATAGTCTTGGTATCTACAGATGACCCTGAATGTAGGAAGGTCAAATAAAAACAAAAATTTCATAACAGTCTGTAATACTCATGAGGAAGTCATTATTTGTTATAAACGAATTTATATATGGTTGGTAAATTTGATTCATAATCCAACTTTGATCAATTTGCTTATAATGAATTATCATCAATGTAAAAGCAGATTTATGGGGATTGTATAATTCTCGCCGATCTAATCACGATGTGACCTTAATTAAATAACTAATTGAAACCTGAAAGTATTGAATAGCCATTTGCTCCTAGTACAGGACTTCTCAGCAGTCCTCATCAGCGCTTCTAAACCGAGGAATAGAGCTCAAGAACGTCGGTCTCGCGTGCGAATGCCTAACCTCTAGACCGCTGAGCCGGCATCCAACATGTAATTAATCTGTTTAGTAAATATGCAAACTGAAGTTATAAAAATACATTTCATAAGGTTAAGCACACATCAGCCTTATTGCTTTTAAAATACGTTTCTTTTGTAGTTATATTCTTATCTCCGTTTCCATTCTTCGAAACATATATGGAGATCTTCAGAACATAAATTAGACACATGTTTTGTCACTTTATGAATTATTACTCATTCGCTCCTCAATGTTTTACTCGTTAAATTATAATTTAATCTTTATTCAGTCAGTCAGTCAGCTACAACATGAAACCAGGCACATATATGCATCGGTCCAAGTTGCCATACCGCATTAGCACAGCAAGATGAACACCGGATTCATACGAGTGGTCAAGTCAATGATGGTAATATATAAAAGAAAGATTGCATATAAGGATACAGTACAAGAAGAAAGAATTAGTTCGTAGAAAGAAAGGTATGAAGTGATTTTAATCTCTTATTTTAATGAAAGGCAAAGAGAGTGTATACACCTTGGCTATTGTGATCTTTATTACCCTCTGGTGACATTCATCAGTCATCAATCAAAAATTGTTCCTTCATGATAAAAGTCTAGTGAACGTATTGATACTGGTAAAGCCTAATTTACGTGCTCAGTAAATAAGCTGAGCACGTATCACGAGAACGTAGATAATAGAGTATACGTTCAAAACCAATCTGTGGAGAAATATGTTTGCTTCATTATCCAAGGCTTACAAATACAAATAAGAATGTTATCTTCAAGTGTCTGACATATTTATCCACTTATGAGCTATATATTACTTAATTATATTGAAATGTTATATGTGAGTAGTAACACCCCCCAAAAATAAAAACGATTTGGCAACTAAGCCTTCACTACACTATGTGTGGAGATAAACATGCTTTTTCAACGTTAAATAAAAGTGTGATATTGTGTATTTTCGACCAGTTTACCGTCCATTTAGTGTATCATTGTTGCAGATGAGGGCGTAATCTTTACTAATGCGCGAGACCGAAGATCTTGCATTCGATTCTTGAATACAAAGTGGTTGATGAGCATTTCTGTGAAGTCTTAGAATAGAAAGAAACGGTTGCCTAGAGCTTCTAGCTTTTCAATGTTTATCTAACTTGGGTCGACTCGTAATTTCAATAAAATATCAACATATGTTTTCGGTTAACAGCCTACTGGAGCCCATCAAAACTTGCCGGATTTAAAAACCTAAATTCAATCATGAAATAAAGTCTTGTGTAAAAAACTATAGTCTTACTGTAAACATGCTACACTCTTTAAATAAATAGAAAAATCCTAGATATCATATATACATTAAACATGGAAAGGGAATTGCGCTACAAACTTACAAACATATATCACATCCTTTACATTACACACGATTGATTTATGATGAAAATTAAAACTGATCATCATCATCAACAACAACAACAACAACAACAATAACAACAACAAGAACAAACAAACAAACAAAACTTGGAAAATCATAACAAGTTTACATTGTTTATCAATCGTAATCAGTTAGTCAATGACCTGATTCAACATATCCTACTCAATGTTTCATGGATTATAACATTTTTTTTTCAGTCGACCACATTATTATACAGATTAAATTATTTAATACTGTATATAATAATACATGTATCTTTGTTAATAATACATTTAAGGAACGTAGTATTGAAAGAGAGAATGAGAGAGGGAGTGAGTAGGTAAGTGGATAAGAGAGATACAAAAGTGAACCAACTAACTAAATTTACTTAGTCAATGAGTATTGGAAACAATTTACATTACTATTTAGTTCGCTGTTATTATTATTATTAAAACAAAGTTCATCATGTAGTTTTTTTTGTGTGTATCTTATAGTATACCAATGTCAATCAGATTTGTATCAGGTCACGGAAACATTCTAAATTTTTTTTTAAAGTTTCTATTCATATCATGGCTTCAAATATGAATTATTTCTGTTTATAATGAGAAATATGAAAATTCTGGGAATTATTAACCAAGTTGAATTGTGATTAATATTAGAATCCTAGTGGTATACTATTGTTATAGTGTGTGCTACTTATATTGACATAAGTAGTATATCATGTTAGTTGTGAACAGAAGGTCTGGCAGCAGAGAAACAAGAGGATCAAACAGTATAGAATGGAATAAGATGCAATTTGTATGAAAATGCAAGAACAATGAAGTCTGGGTCATTTTGAGACAATGGGTGGACATTTTGCAAATTGAGCATTCACTATTTGATTGTTAGGTTTTATTAAAAAGTCCTGTAATTTTGTGGTAAATACATTCGATTGTCGCCACTGATGTTCTTGTTCAATACATTGTTATGTCCCGATAAGAATAACAATGAGCGGTAATTTTTGGGATCCATTTATAGACCAGTAAATTAAATAACCAAACTATACATATTCATGTCCCTGTTATTATGAGCTTCATTTTGACCTATGAACTATTATTGTACGATTTACCATTCTTGAGTTATGCCCAGTCTGTCAATTACAGTCTCTCACATTCACAGCCATTTTTGAGCTGGAGCTTATACAAATGTTGTTTTCTATTTTATTGGTACGTTGTGGTCTGTTTGATTGGTGTATAAACCCCGTATGTTTGAATTAAATGATTCATATTGCAGAGGATGAGATTGGTGTTCTGGACTTAACCGGCTGAGCTAGGTGGAAAACAGGACCAATCACGACTCTAGACTCCTCACACGTGTTTTACGCGTGATTGGTCCGGTCGATAATTCACTGCTCCCTAATTGACGGTTACAACTATAGTCCTGATTGAAAATCATCAATTGAACTAATTTAATATCATTCAAAAATTGATGCCTATAAGGCAGTTTGAACTCATAACCTATTACTTTAAATGATACTACCTCATATTCACTAACGTATAAAGTTCAGACAATCAGTAAATTTAATAAGTTATGGAGATTGTTGAGCTTTTATTAACATGATGAACTGATCAATATTAGACCATCATTACTTCCAGGTTTTTAATGCTTGATCTAACATTGATAGGTTCATGATCTCGATGAATAAATTAATGTAGGAATTCACGTTGTTTATCCACTGTGTAACAAATACAGTAACGAATCTTATTTGACTTATTAACATTTATATGGACGTAGAAGTGATATTAGGACTAAATTTGAGCTAAATAGACCGAATTTTAAGTAGTTTCATTCATTTGTAACTTTTGATGCTTTTGCAATCTAAACCATCTTCTCGACTAATCTCTAAATGTTCTGTCAACGCCGTGCTTTCAATGCACTGATACTCTTTAATCCGTCCGATAAGTGTTGCAACTTCGATGTCCCGTTCTCTTACACATAACTTACAAACAACCTTGATAGTAGCGTCTATTACAGTAGTAATTCTTTTTCTTCACAAAGATAACTACCTTTACTGGTTACTTATTTATGTGGATATAGTATTAAATTTTTATCTGAACGTACAATATAGGTAGTAAATAATGTATTAAAATAAATGATATCGGCTTATACCTTAACGTTGGATGTTACTTTAACTTGACAATCAGGTATGAATATCACAATAATCTAATCAAACAACACCACATGGAACATATTCTTTTAGATCCTACCACACAATGTAGGTCAGGTGAAAGATGATCAAGTTAAAAAGCAATAAACCCATCACCTGATAGTTTATTCATGAAGGTATTTGTACAGGGGTGTGACGATTATACTGTGTCTTCTTTAAACAAATATGATCTAGAGATAAACTGCCTTCCCACAATGGAAGGAAAGGAATCGAATAAGACTGGTCTTAAAGTGACACACCTCATATTATCTTGTAAACTTCTTTCACTAGTGGTAAGGACTTTAACGTATGGAACTAACTTATCAAAAACTACTCATTAAACATCTGTGTGATAGGCTATAATCAGTTGTTCATTGGGCATTGTGGTCACATTCTCAAGTAGTCAAGACCATCGCTAATATAATTTCCATTTTAGGTACCTCAAAAAAACCATCCTCTCATGGTTTGAACAGGGTGAAAGTGAAAATCACTGTCACACCTGAAACGAGATCACTTAAAACACACATGTTTGTTGTTATCTGAAGTATGATTGTATGCGAATTATTACACTCTCAATAATTTATAATGTCAGTGGTAGACCAATTCATCATTTTCTTTCTCAAGAAAAAACCAAGTTCATAGTCAATCATTGTGAATTAGTTTCAACACACTTTTTTTCCCGACAGTTTGTTAAACTCAAGATTTCAACTGACAATGATCAACCATAAAAAAAATTTTTAAAAATCTTTGTATACAATGTCATTCATAACTGACAGGAATATCTATGCTGTAATATTGAGGTCATCTTAGTATTGAGAAAAAAAACTACTATTCCTCAAGTACATTTAATATCATTTAACTTTAGAATGATCTAAGTTCTTTTAAATGTGTAAGTTGATACATCTATGTGTATCTAGAAATTCAGCTGCTCTTATGGGGAAAGATATATTGGTTGCACTATCAGACAACGAGTTAGCGAACATTTCTCTTCGTGGTTAAGAAAGAGTACCATCAATATAATACGCAACTCTGTTCTATCACACTTCATCGATAGCCGTCATACAGTAG